TTAACACTAGGAATACAGCCATACGGTTTACTTTAACTAACTTCTCTTCGGGACATCAAGGAAGAAAGTAATGTGCTACATTTTGGCTGCGCTCCATGTATTCACAGACCACACTTGGAATAGTAAGAACATTTATCGAACAGTTAATGAGCGATGTGAATTTCATGGGGAGAATATTACTGTATACAATGAAATAAATCCTAGATGCCTAAAAGTGGTGAGTGAAAGAGAGAAAAGGGGAGAAAGGCCAGGAAGGAGGGAGGGAGACAGTTAGTGAAACAAGTATACAAAAATTGGTTTTCCTAATTTTAGAAACAGAAAGAACTTATAATTGCAAAAAATCTATGGGAGAGATCGCTTCTTGGACTTTTGGCTAAGATCAGGTGTAAAAATCTATGGAACAAACAGTAAAAGAAAATAAAACAGTTCATGTTTAACAAAAACTGCAGGTTAATGATATAAATCAAAAGTAAATTTCCTATTAGAACTAGGAATATATTTTCAATCCACTTAATGAAAGGAAATGTCCTCAATATAAAAACAGCTCTTGAGGAGTCAAGAAAATAACAAGTATATACTTAGGCTAATCTATGACCCTGGATTTAAATACAAATGTAAAATATTAAACTATGCTTGCTAATAAAACAGGGCTTTGTTAGGAGATGTAGGACATTTTGAATCTTGAGAAATATTTTCTAACTGTGTAGTAGAGTGAACCGGTACGTGGGTGGTCCAGTCGAGCTTTTTTTTTTCCCCTCCCCTGATCTAGCTGCTGGGAGGTAACCTTTAAGCCCTTGGGATATCCTGCCAAGGTCTTTGTTACGCAGGGGGGAGGTGAGAGGGTGAGAGAGATTCGTTCATGACAATTTATACTATCTTTGTGATTTATGGTGGAAGACTAGGGCCAGCTTGACTTCTGAAGGGAAGGTTAGTCAGTGTGGAGCAGTGAGTCAACCACCATGACCCTGGACACCAAGGTTCTGGTTAGCCCCTCTGGTTCCTAGCGTGAGTAGATGGGTCACTCGGTGAACTCTGGCAGTGAAGCACAGTGTGTCTGGAGCCTGGTGCTGTGGATCTGTCCTGGGTGACTCTTCCCATGACTCATGTTAAAGAAGAGCCTTTCCTGGAAGTAAACTGTACTGATGAGTAAAATCGCCACGCTGAGTTTTATGTCTGCAAACAATTCAATTAACCTGACTGCCGTCTTGGTTCTCCCCAGCCAGCAAAGGAATCTAACCATGATTAATATGTCAATAGTAAATTATGGGCTTAAGTCTAAGTGAAGTTTCTTCAATAAATTGCTATTTCTAAACAATACATAAAATAGAAAAAGGAATGAATACATGTATACACACACACATACATTCAACAGAGTAAGTTTACATTGAATTCCCAATGGTATTTCCTTTCAGTCATTAAAATTAATTAATGTTTTAAGCTTCATTTTAGCAAATTAATGAAGAACATGTTTGTATTCCGTGAATATACAAATATGTTTTTATATATCTTTAAAACAATGAAGAAAAATATGAACTTATCAAAAAATTTGGTTACAAGAAAATTAACTATCCTGATTTACTCTTTAGGGAGAAAAACAATTTTAAAGGAAAATCAAAGCTAGCTTAAATCATTTATTTCTCCTTTCTTAGTATGGATTCCAATTTACACTAAAGTTTTATAGTTACATATATATTTTAAAATCATCTTTAGCTGGCTGTCTTTCAGATTCTTTTGCAATAGAAAAATGAAGGATTTTTGTTTTCTCAATTACTCAAAACCAAGTCCTTAGAATTAATTTTTTATTACTTTGTGGTCTGTGCTGATTATTTCAGCTGTATCTGAAGATGTTCTGGGAATTCCTAGAAATAAAAATCAAGACAACAAACACCAGTACCCTTTGCAAACCAGTTTAGACACACGTGCCATGAGAGGAAGGCGTTCTTGAAGTGAACCTTTCAAATGACATAATCTTGCCATTCTAAAATTGTGGTCTGCTGAATTACATAAAATTGTAGCTTATTATTAGTTTCCTGAAAATACTTCTATGTATATAATTTAACAAATTTGAGAAATATTAAAAACAAAAACACTAAGATTTAAGAGTTTCACTTGAGTAGTTGGCTATTACTCAGATCTGAATACAAGGGCTGTGTGTGTGTGTGTGTGTGTGTGTGTGTGTGTGTGTGTATGTGTGTGTAGAGAAAGAGAGAGAAAGGGAGAGAGAGAGAAGGATAGGAAGAGAGAGAATGGGACCTACAATTTTCCAATATTGGTGAAGATGTTTCCTATTTGATAGACTAAAACTAAGGTATTCCTTATTGATTTGCTATTTAAGAGGGTATAAACAAGGTCTTCAGAAAGTTCATGGAAAATGTTCATTATGAATAAAATATATATAGATTTCAAAATTGTTTTACACTAGCATAAATTTCTTTTCTCATTCTTTTTTCCATAAACCCAGAAGCTACCATGTATATACAAACATTTGTTTGAATTTCCACTTTCTTCCTTTCTTACGTTTTGCATCATATTGTACACTGAGTGATTTTCATGATGACCCGATTTATATACATTTCCTCCTTTTGTTTTTGTTTTCATTGCTTTTATCATTCATAGTCCATCATCTAGAAACTGCTACCTTAATGTTTCAAATTGCTTAATGGTAAAAATTCTTAATAACTGAGTGTTTCAACATGTATCACATGCTCTGGTCCTCCTGCAAATGTTACACATACTTGGCAAGTCTCTTTTTTTGATACTCTATAAAAGTCAAATAAAATAATATTTTAGCACCATTTTAGCCAATCCAACCCGAATTCCTCGTCATGAACCAATCTTTCTGCTATATAAAACTAAGGTGCTCTTTCCTTAAATAAGTTCACATAGTTTTCTAAGTAGGTTATTGATCAAAACTTTGAGTGTTAGTAAGTTAACTCATGTTTCTTTTAATTGTTATTTCTCCTATATATTTTCTCCTATAGGAGAATAGAATAATTAACATACAACCACAACTGAAGAAATTAACTTTATATATCTGTTTTTAAGCACATTTATTTACACATACAACTTTTTAAAGCAAACAATGTACTATTAGAATATTTGACAAAAGGTTTTAAAGTCTATATAAATGAATATGAACCCAGACTGTTTATATATCATTTTGTGAATGCATAGCTAAAGAAGGAAAATCATAATAATTTGGAAATTTTCACTTATTTTTAGAATTATCTTTACAATTATTTTTCACTTGTGTTCCCACTATTGTTTATTTACATTTCCTTGCACCTATATATTATTCTCAACATTTCATTGAACTGATGCTCATGGCTTTTCTATTACAACTAACCTGGCAATAGCTTTAAATTATCAAAATTAGAATGGGATTTAGAATTTAATTGCTATAATTCCTTGATTCTACGTTTTTCCAATGGATGATGTTTTAAAAATTTGTTGCCTTTTCTTGAAGTAACAAACTGAATGCAGACAGAAAGCCTGGATGGGAAAAAAATGAAAGTGTATCTATAGATTTAAAAACAGTGACACCCAGTGTTTCCCAAATGATTACAGTAGCATGTAGTTCCTTAGTAACAATTACAAGATTAATTTTCTGCTATTTAAATGTATCATGACGTGCTAGTAGAGGTAGAATATCAAGTGTCATGTTGTACAGTGTATTTACATGTTTCAAAATGACAGGCCTACTTTACGTAGGGATAGAGATGTGTACTATAATGTAGACTACTTCCCAGTTTGCTACTCATGTGTGAGAGTATATGTATATACTCGGTTACCTACTTTTTAAAGTTCAGAAGCCTATCTAGGAATGTCCTTTACCAAAGAAACGTCCATAAAGACAAGCCGCCCTAAGTGAAACTTCACTAAATCCAAATCCATCCAGTTAAAATACCTTCATGCTTATCACTGACCTTGCTAGCGACTAGGGTAGGGAGTGGTTGGGGGAGGATGGCATTTGGCCTGTCAAGATGCTGAGTTAGTTGCCCCTGACACATCTCCAAGTGCCAGGAGCCATTCCTGCCTCTGTCCTTGGCTCCTCCCCTCCTCCAGGCTGCCATTTCATGGGGAGGGAATCAGCAGAGGGGAGAATGTTTTTGCCTTCTTTTTGTCTTGCTTTTTCCATCTATTTCCCAGTTGAGTAAATTTTTAAAACTATGAACCTTGATTCTCAGAACCATGACATTTCAATTGCAATGAACGTCCTAATAAAATGTGTCTACTTTATCACAATCTGAATGCCAATCCAACTCAACATTTTGCCAAGAGAAATTTAAGGCCCAAACAGAAGATAACCGAATGTAAAATTTCAAGACAGCATGACACAAGTTGAAGGATTTGAGATGATACCACTTTTTTTTATAACATTGGGAGGGTAATTATTGTATTCTCTGGGCACACTAGTGCAGAATTACTTTAGAAGGTTGTTCTGGGGGGGGGGGGGCGAAAATACCTGGAGATCATTCTGGCACACAAGGACACAGTAGATGCTCAATAAGTGTTGGTACGAAATTGTAAGAGACCTACTTCTTGGTTCTTCTATTAGATGAACTAAGCCATATAAAGTGCTTATGTGTTTAGCTGAATTCTGCTGCAGTTATGCCACCCCTAAACACACAGGATAGTTACTCTATGTCTTAAAATAACACATACAGTTAATACTATAAGATGGAAATGTTTTCACTTAGTCATTTTCCTTGAATGTTTAAAAATATATAGACTGTGTTTATAATTATTGTGACATTTAACGGTTTAGAAATGTGTAGAGATCAGTAATGCACCACGAAATGATTCTCTTCATTTTAAAACTGTAATTGGGTTTTGTTAGACACATCTATAATAGTTACAACATGTAGAAGAAACTCTTTGTAGTTTTCCCACACCTCTTCTAAGTTCCTTAGTTTTCAAAACTTAAAGCCCTTTCCCCCAAAATCAAAAGCTACACAGTGAGATTCTAAACATACAACATAGCCAGGAATTTGACTTACTTGTGACCCATTTCATGAGCAATTGTAAATGCAAGATTCAGGCCATTGTCTTCAGCAATAATACATTTTCTCTTTTCACTACACATTCCATTCAAGTAAGCTATGCCTACGAGAAACAAATATTATTATCACAGGTTTTGTTTAAATTGTCAAGATGTAATTGTTTGTTGTCCTCATTCAAAAGGCAATATTAACTGTAAAAGCTAACCTTACAAATGGAATATTAGATGGAAAACATGTAAGTATAAGGAAATCTATAAAATTTTGATCTTTTTTTAATTTTACAATTCAAAAAATACTATTTAGTTATATTACTAAGCATCCAGGCATATATTAAGAATCTATTTTATAAACAGCACTTTTCATTGTCATGTAAGAAAAGTAGTCATGACTTAACAAACATAAATAAAAAGCAATTATCTTAAATATTTAAAATTCTTATTAATAACATGTTTTCAAGAGAACAAAAAGTAATAAAAGTAAACTTCACAGGACAATCCTGATATTTACATACATATGTTAAATTAATACATTTTAAAAATTTTATTTCATTAAAGGCCACTTTAATGTGATGTAAAACTAATTACTGATGTTCAAATACTGAAGCTTCCCTCGCAAAATATGTGCTTACTAAGATACTCCAACGTTAAAACATAAAAAGCATTACTTAATACATAAAACGTAAAAACATTACTAAAAAAAGAAGTTAGGAAGCTATTTGGTCTTTTGTTGTAACTTATCAGGAAAGATTGTAAAATCTGAAACTATTCTTTAGGCAAAGACTTATGGAGTATTTTACTAATTAATACACGTTGCTAAACAAAGACTATTTACTAAAATAACTATCATCTTGCAAGCATATATTTTATATTATTTTCAAATAACATGCCATTTTAACACCTATTATTTAAAATTGTATATTCTGTAACTCTCATATCCTTATGATGAATTTCAAGCTATTTTATAGATGAAATCTTAAAGCCAAGATAGGTGAAACGATCTGCCAAAAATCATAAAGCCTATAAAAATGACACATTGAAGATCTGAATTTTCCTTTGAATCTATCTGCCAGATAACTTTATTTTGCTTCTAAAAACAATTTAATACATAGTTTCCACTCATAAAAATTATTACCTGAATGTTTACAACTTTTGGGAAAAGTGTTTTTTTTTTTTTTTAATATATATTTGAAAGGGAGAGAGATAGAGAAAAGGAAAAAATGAAAGAGAGCTGTTCTGCACTGATTCACTCCTGAAAAGCCCAGAAAGATGAGAGTTAAGCCTTTGTGAAGCTGGCAGTCAGGAATCTCATTACATATGGGTAGCTGTGACCCACTTATCTATAAATATACAAGTTTATTAAATAAGTAAAATGTTAAAATTGTCATAACATATTTGCATAGAGATATTTAAAAATGTGTGTGTATAATCATATTCCAGGGAGTTTAAAAAGACTGAGTGAGCATGCCCAATCACTAATGCCAACTGTATTTAAGATTATGAGTGCTTTTCCTCCTCTTCTGCCATTTCCTAAATTCATATAAATGTTTATCACAGTTGAAAATTAGAGACTTAAAAACATAATTATGCCTCTAAAATCTGAATGGTAGTTAGTGGAATCTCTTACAACGCGGGTTATGGTTTAAAAACCAGAATGATACTCTTTTCCCGTTTTTCTTAAAGTTAAAGTAGAATCTATAAGTGGGTCTTGTATAAGTTTGAATTTCATTGTTCTTACATTTGGCAGATCAAGGAGTCTTTGTTTGCCTTCAAAGTTACGGATAATAATTGTAACCATGACTAATTAAATGAATTGCATTATTCTGTTTAAACTCTATGCTTTTCAGTTCCTTTAAGAAGCCACATGTTTCCTATTATAATAAAGGATAGAGGTTAGGAGGGGGAAAGATCTAACACAGCTGTTATTTAAAGATAGATGTAATACAGACGCTTTTCAAAGCACTCTTTAATATGAAGAATTCTGGAAATAAAACACAAACAAAAACAACTCCTAACTTCTCATATAGGAATGAATCAAGTCATGCATCACGAGTCAACAGAATCTCGTTGAAATCAAATCTCATTGGTCTAAAGATACACACATCACCAGGAAGACCAAAAATCCCTAAAACCCAACACCATGCATTTTACAATAAATGGCTACTTGAGAAATCAGTTTTTTCATTAGTTACAGAACCTATGATGATACTCTGTTATTTCCCTGGGAGTCTTATCATGACTTGAAACCTAATGGAATCACCCATACAGTATGTGCCAACTAATAAAATTATAAAGGTGCACATGGAAAAATACAAGATACATGATGGCCCATTTTAAAATCTGTTCATTAGGACACAAAGATATTACCACACCGTCTCATTCACATGCGGAGCATAAGGAAAAATGATGTTATAGAAGTGAAAACTGTAACAGTGCTAAGGAAGACTCAAAGAGGTTCTGGATTGATGAACGAGAATTAAGTTGGTATTAGACCGCGAGTGAGACATTCTGGAATTCTGTTGCAGAGCAGGATGCCTACAGCTAACATATTCATTATTCCTCTATTTAAAGAAAGAAGGCAGGATTGTCAATGTCTTCACCATAAATGTTAAATGTTTAAGGATAGAGATATATTTACCCTGCGTGGACATTATACAACATATAATGCATTGAAGCAGCACATGGTATCCCACAAACATGTACAATTTTATGGATCAAAGTGTTTTAAATTTAAAAAAACATAAAATGTATTTTATCTAGTAATAAGGAAAATATGGAATGCTACAGTTTTATACATAACTAATATGAAATAGCTATATGCTGACACCCAAATGGTGCTTATGATAATTGTAAAATAATTTGATTTAATAATTAACACATTATATTATGTTTAAGTGAAAAGATGATGATCTAGAAACAGAAAAATACAATTATACACGTTATTGGACTTGATATCAGAAATTGCAAATGTAATTAAAAAAGAGGTGTCCAAATAAGTACAGCATGATCTCACCTATATGTAAAATCTGTAAAATGTCATTAGACATTAATAGACATATGCAATATATAAATGCATCAATAGCATCATACTGTGCCCTATAAATACAAATAACCTTAATAGGCCAGTTAAAAATTCTTAACTAATATTTGAACAGATACTCTCAAATGTTTGTATTAGGTCAATATTCTTTAAAATGCACTTGCTATGAATATGAGGGAAAAAGTGACTTCTAATTAAGAAACGGTTTAAACAAGTATAGCAGATCTCTGTTCAAATAATACAGAATATTGTATATCAACTAAAAAATTATTTAGATGTTTTAACATAATATACAAGGTTCCTTTTCATTAATAACATATCAATATGCCAAATAATATTTGATTTTGTAAGTTATAAATATAAATCTAAATTTGAAGATCATCTCAGCAAGCATGAAATTCCCAGAGGGAAAACTTTCTTTGAAAATGAACATAGAAGTAAAAACTACAAAGCAAGTAAAAAAATAGTCCACTTTGACGGTGAGACCACAGATATAAAAATGAGGGTAAAGGTGATCCCACAAACTAGCTCATATCATAGTATTTTATAAAATACATCTTAAGGACAAAACAGCCCTATGCATAAAATCAATCATATAATTTCAAAATTACTGGAAAACAGCACATATATGCATGTGTGTGCACACATATCAACATTTTATCACATTACTGGTAAAAATTAAGACTATTCTACTGGTTTTAGTGACAGAATATGTGAAAGATGCAGAGAAGCAAATAGTCCATATAAAAAGTTTGATCTAAGTCACACACACATGGTTTTATGTAACAACTAGGATGCACATACAATTTTCAAACACTCAGGATCTTCTGAAGTAGAAAAAGTTACCCTAGAACATAAAATTAGAATCACTAAGATAATTTTTACTCTTCTAATTGTTCCCTCCATCCTTCTTTGCAAATGGGTGTTTTAGAAGACGTGTAAATAATGTCAAATGGAAGTTATAAGTATTTATAATTAGAAGAAACCCCTGATTACATTAAAAACCCAATAGCCTATGAGGCAGTTGGGTTTGTAATAGGCAAATATCCCTATTGAGAAAAAAACTGAGCAGTCTATATAAAAATGAAATAATAATTTTAAAGGCACCAGAGTTTTAGAAAGAAATGATACTGTAAGTTTTTCAAGTCTACAAAGAGGAAACTTTTAATGATGAATCAAATATTTATAGGCACTTTCCCCCTCCTGATGATATTTACTGAATTTCAGCAACAACTAGAGGCTGACCACATGGCTTTGACCCAGGAAGAGGACAGCTGCAAAAGAAAAACAACAACAAACAGGAATGGGGTGTCCTCCTTGAGATGAAGTTGATGTCCATATATGGCTAAAGATTTCAGAAGGTAAGGAGGCTGGACTTAACAACACAGCAGGCAGGGGGGCCACCAGGCATTCCTCCTCAAGACAATTTCAGGATTCAAAAAACTCCAGGGAATACCATTACAAACTAATCCAGAACCTCTGAATGGAGCAGAGGAAGGACACAAAATGATGAAAATATGGAGACATCTGCATGGTAAGGCAATCTGACATTCTTGATCTGAAACATAATGCTTTCAATTAAGATCTCTATGGGTGGACTTAACCCTGGAATGGACATAGGAAAATGAGGAGTATTTCATGGGATAGGTTAATGTAAAATGTCCAAGTTCAAGCACAAACAGTGAATGCCAGGGTAAGAAATCCTATGGTGCCATGGTTTGAATTTGCCCTGAAATGCATGTTGACATTTAATGGCATTTGTGAGAGTACTGGGAATGGGGACCATTCCGAGGTGATGAGGTTACAATCATTATATAGTCAGTTAATACAGAAAGTGGAATCCAGGAAAAGATTGAGATTAGTCTGATTTTCCTGTTTCCACGCTTGCTTCCTCACCATGAGTTGTTCTCCACATGTTATGACTTAGTAAGAAGCCATGCAGGTGGACTTCCCAAGCCCTAGAAGCGTGAGCCCAGTAAGTTCTAGTGCATACAAATGACCAAGTCTGGAGTAGTCTATTCAGTAGCAGAAAACAGGCTAAGATATATGGCTACTATCAACAAATTT